AATTTCAAAATGCTTGAAAAATATTTTAAATTTTTTTTATTTCAATTATAAACATGTCTTGCATTAATTATTGTATTTTGAAATCTGAATGATAAGATAATGTATATTGTAAGGTTAATTGGGTAGTCAAATTTTAAAAAGTGCAGGTTTTATGACATGCACTATTTTAAAGTTCTTAATACCTATATTATATGTATGGTTGTATTTTGTAACTGCTTTCAAACTGATTGAGGATAATCTCTGCAAGACATAAAGACTGTTGGAAAAAGGTTGTCCAGTGCATTAGTACTTTGCATTTGCTTCAAACTGAGCAGTATACTTTTTTTTGATACCCTAAATTTATCAATGTATGATTGTAAAATACTGTTTCAAGTGCCCTGAATTACTCCACACAATGTTGCCCACATTTGTATTGTTCCCCCTGTGTGTTCCACTATAGTTTCACATTGACCATGTTACAGTTCTTCTTTCTGCCATCAAACAAACTATTGTTGATTGTTGCCAAATAATTTTAATTTTGATTTATTAGTAAAGAGCACCCTCCTCCAATCTTGTTTATCCTTGTTTAAAGTCTGATGCACATTTCAGTCTTTTAGTATGGTCATATCTCCTAATAAGTGGTTTATGGGCAACTAGACATCCTTTGTGCTAATGTATATTTTACTGTTTTGGAGGTAACATTCACTCCATTACTTACACCTAGGATATTGGCAAAATTTTTAAATGATTCTTGCATATCACATAAGAATATACACCAAGTTACTTAATATTACATTTAAACAGCTTGAGCTTTTTACCTTTACTACTACTATAATCAACAATACAACGTTCATATACCATCTTCAGAGTTTCTGTACATCTTTTACTGAAAACAAATTATTCTGCCACAATAAGTCACATGGAGTAGGTTTTGTCAGCCAAAATTTTGATTTCTACACATTTTTTGTGGCATTTCTGTCCTAGGAGCCATGAATTAATTCAACACACTACTGCTGGGAGCAGTGTGACTGTACTTTTTATAGACATTGTTGTGGCACTTTCTATTTGATTGGATGACAGCCAGTCACAATGTGGACTGTAAACTATCAACACTAACTGAATTATGGTGCACCACATTTTCATACAGTAGAGTGGAGACCAATCTCATAATAATTCCTTTTTATATTAATTTTATTCACTGTTTCCATAATCATTTACATATTGTACACCCTTCACTTTATCTTAATAAAACCATAAACATTTATAACACACTTTTGAAAATGTCAAGCCTCATTGTTGTTTTTTTCTGTTAGAGTTCATTCAGAATATACACTGTAAGAGTTCAATTTCGAGTGGCATTATTATTAAATATGGCAAAAGAATAAGGTATCTATATATGCTTAACCCCTTTTATTTCTTTGAAGAAGCATTATTTCTTTCTTTTTTCTTTTGCCACAACAATATTAGTCTGTCAGACAGAAGAAATGCAATTTTTAAAACTCTGCAAGCATGTTTGCATGTTTTGAAAGAAAATGTATTTCTTACATTACATAGACTTAAACTTGTTGGCAAAAGGCATAAAATTTGTAGGTGGTTAAAATTATTTTTTTAAAACATCAATATTAAACTTTTGTAATTCTTTCTGATCTTCATAGCTTGGATTTCTTTTTGTCAAGAAAAAAAAATTAAAGGTTATCAAATGTTTGAAAAATCATACCTCTTGAATCAATCATACTAAAGTATTCCAGCAGAGTCAAAATTATGACTTTTACTTCTTTGAAGCCAATCAGCTTTTCCACACAGACATCACCTATAGTTTTTCAGGATTCTTTGGTTTGAAACCTGAGCAAATAACAGTGAAAACCCAGGTAACACTTTGCAAAAATTTTTTTTATCTCTTGTGACAGTTTTTCACTGACTTGTATTTTCATTTTTCAAATTTAATATTTTATGCTTGCATTATAAGTACATTTAGTTTAATGGCTTTTCCTTAGGATCATATGAATGATACCATATTTGTATGAGTTGAACCCTTTAAGCCTTCACTAATTGACAATCTTCTCTAAACTAAGAGAGAGCTCTACCTTGTCTAGTCCCTGGTGATTAATCCTGAATTATTCTAGTTGTTTTTGAACAATTATGGTATTGATTAAGCACATCAAATATGCTTCATTATTTTTCACCTTTGAAGATCAGTTACATTCTCTTTGGCATGGACTTCTTTACAAGTCTTCAATCATTGGGGTTCATTTCTAACTTTCATTTCTCATTCTAATTTTTAGCTCATTGCTCATGATGATACTTTTGAAGAGTTTTCAAACTTGGACTTCTTTACAAGTCTTCAATCATTAGGGTTCACTTCTAACTTTCATTTATCATTCTAATTTTTAGCTCATTGCTCATGATGATACTTTTGAAGAGTTTTCAAACTTGGACTTCTTTACAAGTCTTCAATCATTAGGGTTCACTTCTAACTTTCATTTATCATTCTAATTTTTAGCTCATTGCTCATGATGATACTTTTGAAGAGTTTTCAAACTGATAGATATCAGCTTGCTTCAGACCCCAAGCAGCCTCTCCCTCCCATTGATTTTATACACAAAATAAGTTGTATTCAAAAGGGGGAATGGCAGTTCACCAACCCAAATACCTTCTGTCATTGTTTTTCTATTTGAATTAAGCCAGTAATCATTTTTTATCTTTCTTATTCTGATCCACATGCTTCTTGCACTATTGTTTAAAATTGGATACCTCAAATTCAAGCTTTCTGTTTATTATGGGCTATTTTTCATTCCCATGCATCCACTGTCTATTATACGGTTGTTTGCTAAAAATCTAAGCATAAATAGTAATTTTGCAGCTGCTCATAGTGAAGGGATTTTTCAAATAGTAACAGTTTTGGTCACTTTTCGATTGCTCATCTGCTGGTTCCCGTTAATCTTTAACATATTTATATGACATTGTTTTTAACCAACTGACTTCTCCAACCATACACAGAAATACGAGACATATTTTATTCAGTCCTCATTTCATCAGTCTGGTGGTTAAGACGCTTGACTCGCACTCTGTGGATTGCATGTTCGAATTCCCATCACACCAAACCCGCTCGCCCTTCCAGGTGTGGGGATGTTATAATGTGATGGTCAATCCCACTACTCATTGGTAAAAGAGTTGGTGGTGTAGACTAGCAGTCTTTCCTCTAGTCTATCCCTACTAAATCAAGGACGGCTAGCGTAGATAGCCCTCGTGTAGCTTTGCGCGAAATTCAAACCAAACCCTGGTTCATAGATGCTCAGTAAGTTTTGAACAGCACGCCTAAACTGCTCACCTGCAGAATCATTACATGGTCTACCTACTTCTGCCATTGAATTCCCTGATCCAATGAAACACAGTGACTCAATGTTTTATTTGAACTGTCAAGTTTTCTCATTCGCTTGTCTAGTTTCATTAAATTCGTTTTCTTTCACCACCTCCATACTCGTACTTCTACACAGCGTGGTCACAAGTAAATAGACACCGCCTTTTCATAAAAAATTAATTTTTTCATTCATATTCATATGAATTGATATATTTATAATTTAATTAATATCTAGTAGATCTTCCTTTCACTTCGTGGAGTTCGTTGATCCTTTGGGGCATCGTAAGAATCATCTCGTCAATTTTAGTTTGTGAGATTTTCGCCCACTCTTGCTTCAAAACTTGGAGTAGATCGCTCTTCGAAGTTGTTTTTTTTTTTTTTTTTTTT